TGAGAACAGTCAATTATTGTCCCCAGGGAAGTGGTTGACTCCGCTACGCTGAACACAAATTTAAGACTCAGCTGGACATGGTGCTGGGCCATCTTGTCTAGACTGTGCTAGAAAGGTTGGACCAGATGATCCTTGAGGTCCCTTCCAACCTGGTATTCTATGATTCTATGATTTTTGGTAGTGCCCTTTTGTTCTATGTTTAGTCGATGTAAGGTATTAGATTCAGCCAACTGGATGTACAAATAGTTGATGAAATCTTGTTCTTCTTGAAATCAAACCGAGGGCTTTTGCCACTGGCTTTTACAGAGACACATTTCCTCCACCGCGAATCAAGAAGAGGATAACCTTCTAGTATTTCTTAATTTAGCAACTGCAGTTGCAGCGAGGTTTTAAAAACCTGATGGCCAAATATCACCAGCAGGACTGTCAAACTAGACTAAAGGAGAAAGAAGTTTTGAACTAACAGAAGAGATGATGACATAACCTTCTTCATAAAAAGTTGTGAAAGATTCTTGAACAAGCATACCTACTCTAGTAAATAACTCAGCTTGGATGCTGAAAATGAACTGGAGGCATAAAAAAAAAAAATCCTCTTCAGTTTTAATGAGCTCAAAAGCAATCCAACTGTATCTATTTATATAGCAGGAACCTTTTGCTCTGAATACACTCTACCTGGGCCAGCATCTATAGTACAGTTCTGTCTATTTTTAATCTCCTAATATGAAATATAGATAGGAAAATTATATTTGAGCAGTGGTTCTTTTGGCAAACATTAACTAAAATTAATTAAACTTTTGATGATATTCCTTCTCCTTTCCTTATTCTTTGTTTGTCCACTTCTGTGTAATCACGCAATATAATTTAAGGATCCTTTGTGAATGTATGAGTGAATGGTGGAATACAAACTGTCTAGATTATTAGGAGCTGGTGACTCTGTCACTTTCAAATGGAAAGATAAACTGTTCTAGATGTGCTGTGAAGTTACAGACTAGAATCTCTCTGAATGGTGAGGTCTGAATTCTGCCTGGACAAACAGTTCATGATTTCAAAAGATTAATAGAACCATTATCAGTCCAACTTATTTTTTGTTCATGTCTGCAGCATAAAAATCGGATTCTGAAGACACTTCAAAGTTAGCAAAGGCATAATTACAGTTTCAGGACAGGACAGGATCACTTAAGTCACTGAGCCCACTGAGTGGGCTCAGAGACATGCAGCATCAACACATAATGGGTTATTTGAAAAGTCATATGAAATAGGTATCAGAAGTGATTTACTTCAAATACATTTGCATAAAGCCCTTGATCTGATGAAATGTGACCAATATTTTTAAATGGAGTTGTAAAAACAGCTTTCCAGGCATTATTCAAGTTATAAGTTTTCCAATTACTGTATATCTTACATATATATAAAAATATGTCTCTTACTGCACTAGAGTTTCTTGGTCTTAATATTTCAGCTTAACATAGAAGGATTTTGAACTATTATAGATAATATATACATATATAAAAAGAGCTTAGTTCACAGAACAAAACTACCCATTGCTACAATCTTAGGCTACATTATTCATGTATGGCACACACTGTTGGGAGTAATTTCAGTGCCTCAGTTCCCTATAGTATCAATGGAGAGAAGATGGCGCATCCAGCGGTCGGTGCAGTATATCTGAGTTAGCTGAATAAACTTAGACAGTATCAAGGCCCCTCTCCTCCCTCCTCTTAAAGTAAAAATGCAATATATTTTCACATGTGGTTATTTATTTAACAAAAAAAACAGTTTTATTGGAATACATGAGAAGAAGTACTTGTTTAATGCATTCAGCCCAAGATACTTTTTATGTTGGATAAAAAAGCACTAAAAAAGCAAATGTCTCCTTTTTTAGAAACTACTTCCATTCTGCCATCATGCTTAAAGCTAAGCATTCCTTTAAGTGCTTTGCTAGAGAGTGGCTTAAATATGTTGTAAAATTATGAGAAGTATGAAACACGAAAACTCTATTAATTAAACTGTGCGGAACAATAAGGCTGTTTTATATTGAAGCATCCAAATTGTTTTCTTGAAACTACAGGCATTGTGTCCATTTGCAGCCAAAAAAATACTTACTGATTGCAGAGTCATAGGAGGTTGAATTGTGTTCATCTCGGATAAGAGGAAATGGGGACAGGTAAGCATGTGTACAATTCTTAGAAGGTGACTGGTTAGCTAAAAGTGAAAGAAAGCTAAAGATTAGTATTTTACTGCCTTAACAATAAAATATTTTAAGCCTGTTGTTTAAATGCGCAAACTGAGTTTCGTAGGTCAAGATTCCAGGTCCTTTCCCAGGCAATAGCTTTACAGTGGATTTTGCTTCGGTAAGATACCAGCCTTGTTACCCAGTGAAGGATATTCCTTAAAGGGCAACATAGATTTGTACTATGGGAACAGTAAAGCAGCCTTGCTGAAGGCAAGGATCTGGCACGCTGCAATTTATATGCAGTGCATATGTATGCTTTTATATGCATATGCACCTTTCTCTTGTGAGAGTTAATTATGTTTGTCTCATTATTGCATGTCCCACCAAAAAAAAAAAAAAGGAAAAAAACCCCAGGAAATTACTTTTTCTCTTGTGAAAGAACAATGAAAAATATCAAGCATCTTCGGAAAGTTTACTGTCTCAACAAATATGAGTTTAGTCTATGGAATCAATATCCCCAGAGAAGGGTTATTTCACTCTTCATATTAAATGTTTATAAAAACATCACCTTCTTCCTTGTGAAAGATAAAGGCTGACTATAGCTTAAACCACATTTAAATTTCAGATTCCTGACCGCAGAATACTCCAGATAAATAACAAGGGGAAATTAACTGCAGTGAATATTATATTTGCCACCTAAGACCAAGCAACATATTTAGCAAAATATGGGTTATTGAAGTCAAATTTGTATGATGGCATCTGCTTTTCACAAGGATTGTGGAAATCTTGCAGTAAGGAGAGGGAGGTCTGTGCCTCAGAGGTAGGATCAAAGACAGGAAAAGAATTTTTGCTTGACCTCTTCTTCATGGGAGATTTTAGTTGTAAAATACTATCTGATCTTCCAGAATCCTGGCATGTAGTGAAAGAAAGCAAAGGGTCATCTGTGACTTTAGTAGAGGGATGCTTCTGGAGATGATGTGTCCTACACCACTTTCACAGTGGAATTGCCCATGCCTTCCTTAACCCATTCACAGAACTAGCTGGAGAAACTCTCCAAGCAAAAATTAATGGACCATTCTAACTACTAAGCTCTTTTCCCCTACGTTACCGAAATAAACAGTCTACTTAACAATAAGTGGCAAGAGACTGTCCTGATAAGGATGGTCTTGGGTTAAGAGGACAGCCATAACACTCACAGCGTAAGTTGATAAACATGTATGATTTTGTCTCTGGGTTTCCTATAGTACAGATTACAAAAATGTTTGTCAAGAATTTATTTTAAGGTAACTGAAGAACCTGATCACCAAGGAAGCCATATGAAATCCAGTGATTCATAAGATGGAAAAAAAAAAAAACACAACAATTTTGAGAACAAACTACTGTAGATAATGTAAAAGTAAAAAGTTACTTACTATACCAGAAATTCCACATGCTGGCATTATTCTCTCCTACATTTCCACTAAACCAGCACCTCCAGAAGAAACCTTCATGATGGAAAGTGGCCTTCTCTCCCTACGGGGTGGGGGGAAAGAAGCCATTATCATACAATTTTTAAATGGCTGAAAGAATCAAGTTCAACTGAAATTAGATGTTGAGGTAAAAAACACTACCACCATAACGAAACACAGCCTGTCTGAATATAGGTTAGCTATAGCATATCTAAACAGTTATACTTCCTTTGAAAAAATGTCATATTGCAAAAGTAGTATAACAAAAGACAAATACATTTTAGAGTTGATTACAACTGGTTAAAAGAGGTTTTGAAGCAGGCTTGTAAGCCTCCAGAAGGTCAAAATGAGTATATTCAAAAGTTCATACAGAAGTAAATTCTTAAAAAATAAACACATCCAAGAAACCTAAATATATAATTCTCATTATAAACAAAAATGTCCATACTAACCCCAGCATCTTCAGGTGCTTTCGAACACCTTCCTATTTCTGTAGCAAGAAGCCAATAATCAGTTCCAAATGCCACCAAAAAAAGCAAAACCCCTAGAGCCGCAAAGAAGCCTCCAAAAAATATCCCCACACTCAGTTTCATTATCGGTTATCTTCAACAACAAAAAAAAAGGAACTACTTTTTTTAATTACTTAAGAAGAAGCAGTAAAATAAATAAAATTTTTGGGAAAGTGACTAAAAAGCTGTTTGGAGAATATAGCTCATATCTGAAGAAGTTTCTCTTCACTTGACTTTCTGCCTGTGTTTCCCAATGCCCCGTGAGTCGATTTGTGTCTCCTAATTTGTGTTCCATGTGGCTGACTGAAGCCTGACAGATGAAAAGGGCTTTCTATTTTAGGACACTGATGGCAGAGCTTCATTCTGTTTCTCTGTCTGGGCAAGGCCAGTCAGAAATAGCTGACCTTCCCCTAACTAATCAGGGATTGACTTGAAATATTATTGCAGCTGGTGCATCAACATTGGTGGAGACGGTGATGGAGATGCAATGGCTCTGTCCATCCACGTGAACTGCGTTACAGGGCACGTAGTAGCAGCACGGACTTCCAAAGTTCAGGCTTGGTGGTGAATGTTTCCTTGGCTGCTAGCAGGGAAGGAAACACAGGCAACACTTTGGAAGTTACTTTAAGTCATGTTAGTAAATAAAGGCTGAGATTTTTTTATGGAACTTTGAAAACATGGTAGCCAAATTGCAGAGATGCCTTTGAAAAATCCTAACTTCTATTACAAATCCAGTTAGCTATAAAATTCTACATCTTACCCTTAAAATAATAGCTTTAACGACACTAAACTAAGCATTTAACTGCTTTATTTATTCAGATGCATCTTATTTGCATATATCACAAATGCATGCAATTAAAAATTCCTCCCAGCACAGTACCTGATAAAGAAACTTCAGGTTTTTTTAAAAAAAAAGAAGACACTTTACCATACGTGTGCTTTGGCCATTTTGGAAGGTGATGAGGTAACACATTTAAACTCCAAGGACCCACTGCACAAGAAAAAGGCTTTTCCAACAACTTCATTTCATGCCAAGCAGGCCTTCCTGAACACCTCTAGTGGATTACAGGGCATGCTCCTGTAGAGATTTGTTGAGTTCATTATGCACAAGATCCTGCAGTCCTTACCCAATAAATTTCCACTGGCATTATCTAGCACCAGAGCAGAAAATATTCCACTGACTTCCCATGCTAGGAAGTGCTGGGACCAAGAGAAAGATGAAGTCAGTTTACTCCAGAAAACATTCGTCACAAAATTTTATTGCAACAGAACTTTTAGGTCTCCAGAGGGACTCCTACTTCCAATATCCCAGTATCAATCTGGACAGTGCTGAAGGAGAGCAAGGAGAAGACTGTTTCTACCACCTCTCCTCATTTCCAGACAGATGAACCAGAGATGTGTCCTGAGGGTTTTTATAACACTGCATTATCTGCCTAGCACCATATTCGCATTTGTTACAAGTCATATTTTATTCAAACCCGATACTATACTAACTTCATACACAAGTACATCTAATATTTTGTGGCCTTTTTGCACTGCACAGTTTCAGTGTATGCAGAGCAGTAAATGAATTTTCAGTCAAACAGACTCTTTTTGCCATATTTGCTTTCCCTGACAGCCACTGATGCGGTTCACTTTGCTATAGCAGAAAGCGATGTTTGGAAACATCAGTTTGGAAAGTTATGTCTAATTGTTCTTTATTAAAGGAGAAAAATCTTCAGGAAAAAGAAAAGCACATAGAATCTGCTATAAAAGAAAATGAGGTATATTTTAGAAAAGGATTACTTGCAGGTTAGAATAATGCTTTAACTTTTGGTCAGCCCTGAAGTGGTCAGGCAGTTGGATTAGATGATTGTTGTAGGTCCCTACTAATTGAAATATTAAATTCTATTCTATTGTGTCCAAAATTGGGGGGGGGGAGGGGGGAGAGAAAAAAAGGTAGGATTCAGTTCAGGACTAACATGCCCAAATTTAGACAACTTCACATGAGCTAGATGTTTTTCCATTATAATCAATAGCGATCTAGTCAATACAGTCAATGGAGCCT